CCCCCCCCCCCCCCCCGCTGTTCTAGATGAGTCAGAGCAGTGTGAAGAGTGATGCCTATAGCGTCCTCTGTAGATCTATTTCTTCTGTATGCAAACTGATGTTTATCAAATGTATGCGGAAGACCAGAAATGATGTGCTGGTAGACCAATTTCTCAAAGCACTTCATGATGATAGGAGTGAGTGCCACTGGTCTGTAATCGTTGAGGTTATTGATAGGGAACTTCTTTGGCAGCGGAACAATGGTGGAAGCCTTCAAACAAGATGGAATAGTGGACTGGGATAAAGACCGATTGAAGATCCTGGTAAAGACTCCAGCCGACTGATCAGCACAGTCTTTAAGCACTCGGCCAGAGATACTGTCAGGACCGGCAGCCTTTCTAGGGTCCACAGCCCTCAGAATGCTCCTCACCTCCTGTTCCTCCACAATGAGGTGGGGGCTACAGTTGGCTGGTAGTTGTGTTTTATCTGTCTCTGATGTCTCCACTTTAAAGCAATCAAAGAAATGATTTAGTTCCTCTGCCAATGAAGCATCCCCCTCAGCAGGGATGACATTGGTTGGTTGATGGTTTGTAATTTGTTGAATCCCTCGCCACACCTGCCTCATGTTATTGCTATAAAAATTATCCTCAATCTTCCTCTTATAATCATTCTTGGCCTTCCGAATACCTTTCTTCAGATTAGCTCCGGCAACACTATCTTGCCCATCACCGGACCTAAAGGTCCTGTCACGCAAGAGGCCCTGGACTTCCTTGGTCATCCAGGGTTTCTGATTGGGATAGATCCTAATACGTTTATCCACAGTGATAGTATCTGTGCAGTGTTTGATATAGCACAGAACAGTTGCACTGTGCACCTCTAGGTCAGGGTGGTAAAAGATGTCCCAATTTGTGTTCTCAAAACAGTCCTGAAGTTGTTAGGAAGCATCTTCTGGCCAAGATTTCACTGTCTTTATTATAGGCAGAGCCCGTCTCCTAAGAGGGATGCATGCTGGTGCTAAAAGCAGTGACATATGGTCTGATTGTCCCAAATGTGGTAATTGTATAATTTATATTTCCAGGATCTTCCCAGTTTTGATGTCAGGTTGATTGGTCTGTACTCTATAGTTTCTTGGATCAATTTTTCCCCTTTTTTGAAGGTGGGAATTACATCAGTTCTTCTCAGTCGTCTGGTAGTTCCCTGGTGTTCCAGGAACTGTGAAATATGTGGTTTGGTGGTTCCAAGATTACAGCTGCCAATGCCTTCAGAACTCTAGGATGTAGTCCATCTGGTCCTGCAATTTCAACCTGTTCTAGACTGGATAGGTGTTGTCTTACCATGTTGCCTATTTTGACTTGTATTCCTAATTTGTCTTTTACAGTTCTGCTTTTGGTAGCTTGGACTCTTTTTTCCTTTTATGTAAAGAAAAATGCAAAGAATGAATTAAGCAGTTCAGCTTTCTCTCTGCTGCCTGCCATGTCCTTGCCATCTTCTCTTTGTAGTAGACCAATTGTTTCCTTTACTTTTTTTCTTCTTTTTTACATGTTGAAAGAAAGTTTTAAAAATTATTTTTTATATTTGTTGAAAGTCTTAGTTCATTCTGAGCTTTAGCTTTCTGACTTCATCTTTGCAGATTCAGTCCATCTTTCCATTTGTTTATACTTATCCTTTTTGTCATTCAGTTTATCAGATAGTTCAATATGCAACTATACTGGTTACATCTGGATTTTTTTGTTTTTGAATGGTATTGTGCTAGATTAGGCTTTTATAATCTCATTTTTCTAGAGTTTCCCAAGTTCCTGGAGAAGAGAGGGAGGGAGGGAGACACACACAGAGAGAGGTTGTTTTTTAAAGATGTAATATTTTAAAAAATGACCTTTGGTACTTAGAAAGTCAAAAATGATCTGTTGGAAAAAGTGATGTTGAGAAGGCAGAACCCAGAGATTCTGCATCCGTTTTCTCCCAGGAGGAAAATGAAACTGAGGAGAAGAGAGGTGGGTGCTTAATACAGACTAGGAGGGTGAGAGAGAATTTAGCTAAAGGAACTGATTTTGGTCTCCAAGGCAGAGGGGTTGTCTCCCAGAGGATGAGGCAAGGTGCTGCACTCCAGAGCCGGTCTGCTCCAATGTCCCGCCTGAAGACACACAGGTGGGCAATGAAAGGTGCCTCGATGTGCAGCTTCCATTGGGGCTGTCATGGCCATCAGGTGGCTCCAGCTGGTTTTCGGGTTTCCTGCGGGCTGCCCTGTCCCGCCCAGATCTCTTCACCTGCCCTCCGTTGTCTCCTGGCTGCAGTGGGCACTGGAAGCCTTTCCTTCCTTTGTAAACTATCATCCAATACATGTGCAGAACATGTGCTATACAGTGACACACAAACACACACACACACACACATACACACACCAGTTTCACAACTACAACTAAAAAAACTTGATTCTTTGGGTGCTATGTATGTTTTTTAGTGTTTTGTTTGTTTTACCATGGGGTCTGCTTGTAAATCTAGTAAACAGTGGAGCAAGAAGCCAAGGATGCATGAAACTCAAACGCTTTGCTGCCATCTTGTGAATGAATGATTGCCTTGAAAAATAAATTAAAAATGAAGGAATGATTGGGTTAAAAGTAAGGTAAAGACCAAAAATTAATGGTTAAATGGAGTTGATGAGAGGCTCTGAAAGATGACTAAGAAGTTTAAAGAACAAAATGAGTAAGAAGTTTAAAGCACAAAGCAGCATGGAAACTCTGTAGACATAAGGAAGGGCTAGAGAAGTAGAGAGGGACGGTGA